GTCGAACCAATCGTAATCTTCAAATCTTTTTGAACCAACTCATGGAACGACCTAAACCCGGTTTGTTGGTATTTCATTTCAAGGTCAAATTGAGAGAAACCGTGATTCAAATTGTGAACCGCCAAAACAAATTGAAAATACATGCCATCCTGTATGGTCATATCATTCAATTACCTACTACTACTTATCTACTGTTCAGAGACAATCCCTCCCCACTCTATGGAGACACAGTACAGCAAACGCTCTCCATTCCGGTATCGTGGTCCGACCCTATCTCAAGATTTGAAATTGTTTTAAGGAGTCTACAGGCTTAGCTGGGAAGCGCGGATTATAAGATTCTCTACATCTTCGAGGTCGTCGTAGCTGGAACCTATACTGTTCTTGCTCTATCATCTACTGCGTTATACAGAATACCTGTATGGCGAAAGCAGTTCTGGACTGTCTGCTTCTCCCGCAGGTCAAGCCAAATAGCCTTGCTCCACTGCATTGCCGTAAGCTGGTCAAGCCAAATAGCCTTGCTCCACTGCATTGCCGTAAGCTGGTCAACCTTGTACGTTTGGTCAGTGGCAACTAAGCGAATGGCGCTCTTCGAATTCTGCACTGCTGATGCGTCTCTTGTTTTGATAATGTCGGGTCTCAATTTGAAACACAATTTCTCTTAGTTTAACCTTGAATGGTGCAAATTTCGTGTATTTATAGTCACCTCAACTACATATAAAAGTCCCAATCAGGTTGCAAAACTGGTCGAGTATACATGTTATCAACAATATTGTCAGGGAACCAAGAGCTCTAGATGCAGCAGCTTGTTGGCTTCGCATCTCAGTAGCAGCAGTGGGAACTCGATTTGCCATCTCGTTCACTTGCTACACGCTTGCAGCGTTCTGATGAAGTTCGTGAAGAGCAAGCTCAGTTTGATTGATAGTTGTAGCCGTCTGTTCCGCAAGAGCCTGCACCTGGCTTACAACCTCAGTGTTCTGATACGCGCGATTCTTGGTTGTTCTCGAGAACACGGGACAGCAGGTGAATGTCATCAAGCACGTGATCAAGCAATTCGTTTACTTGACCTAGGCGATCATCGAGAACTGCCAGCGACTTTTCAACCGAATTTATGCGATCCGTGTTGTAGGTCTCACGGTTGTCATCTCGGCGGTGGCTAGGCGCAGTGTCGCCGCGGACCAAGCGGGTGGCAACCCATCGTCTTGATTCCATCTTGGAGAGTAGGTCGTTGAATCTGCAAACTCTACTATGTCACAATAGAATGTGACTCTATTGGATGGTAGCACTTAGGAAGCTTGGCACTGAAGGACTCGGGCGAATGAGGGCCGTCGACGTTCGACTTTGCACTTCAGTACTTGTTAATTTGTTGGAAAATTGAGAACTGATTGTTGTTTTGGCCACTACATCGTACTCCTACGGACTACTTAAGCGGCTAGATGTACAGTATGCTTATGTAGCAGTCTTGTGGACCCAGGCTCATGCAGATCCAGTTGGTTGCTGTTTCCAACTGCAAGTCTAGCAGGGTTTCCACACGTTTAGGATTTTCGTGAGATTGGTTTCGTCTCGAAACCAGAGATAGTGGCCGATAATGCTGATTTCCTATGACCGGCTGATCTCGAGACATACTTTGTCATTAGATGAAATTTCCGAAATCTAATGAAAGTAAATTGCACACTCAAAAAAAAAACCGTCCAGTACGAGAATAAATAAAACATCGAGAAGTCGACCAGCCAATTGGAAATGCGTAGTTTGGCCAGCCAACGAATTGTCACTATGAGGAGGACGTCTGCCACGCGGTAGTGAGCCAGAGGAAAATCTATTTGGAGTCCGCATCACATGCATTGCGTATTGAGCCCACACTATAAGAGCATCTCCAACGCTTGCGGCCCCATCCTGACAACAAATCGCAAAATAAAGTAAAAAAAAAAACTATGTTTTGAGGAAGGTTTGGTCCGACATTTTTCCAGCGCAAAGAGCTGAAACCTCAACCTCAGACCTCAACGAGTTGTCGATTCCTATCCTACAGTCGTGGCGAGCGAGATGGACGCTGCGTCAAATGACGAGCTCTTCGACAGCAAAAAGTTGTGACGAGGAGGTGCGCCCCCTGTCCCAAACGCGACTACAATTCTGTCAGATGCTGAGTTTAAATATAATGCGGCTGCAGGAATTTACCACGCTCATGCTCAAATACAGCGGTGTTTGCCGTGAAAATAAAAAAAAAATCGAGCATGGCAGATCGCGTCCTGGACGTTCTGCGATCGTAGAACACGATGTTCAAGCTGGACACCAACGCCTTTGGAGCGATTTTTTCACGGTACTCCGACGAGAGCATTGAGCGTCGATTGTTGCAGTTGCGGCATTGGCAATTACTTGCCTTCAGAGACATTCTGCTTTTTACTATCATCCACACATTAGCGAGTTTCTTGTCTTCCTATGGTTCCCAGTTCTGCCGCCGCATAAGGCTCGACGTCGTTAGTGGCTTGTTTCCTTTCGGGGTGTGGAGATCAGGCCCAAAGGAATCTTC